TATAGTTTGCCGTAGTGTTGTAGGATTATCAATAATTTGATTAATGAAGTATTGAAGTTTGTTTCTCCCTACCTCTCTCTCTCTCTCTCTCCCCTCTCATCTGTCTTTCTTCCATCGTTGTATGTTATTACAAGGGAGGGAGTTTGAGAGTTGAAGCTCCATAGAACGAAAGATAGAGAGGAGGTTGAAGGGAGAAAATATCTTATAAGATAACAATTGTTTATTTTTCCTATTTAAATTCTAAATAGTTTTAAAGAAATTACATTGAAACAATTTAAAGAGCATAATATGAATACCCCTTAAATATGGCTACCAATAAAGCCAAAAATTCTATTCACGCCACTGATATAACACATTAGTTTTGATTAGATGATCGCCATCACGTAAAATGCTATACCTACAATATTATATAAAAATTAATAAGTTTTAATATCATTTTGCATCTTCTCTTCGTTGAATATTTATTCACTTTGGCTTCACTGAACCTGTTGTTTGTTTAGGAAACATTTCAACTTAGTTTTTCTGTTGCATGTATATAGCAGTTCTATATGGATGCAATCCAGATGTATGCGTGCGTATCAATTTATGTTGTACCCTTGCATGTCATTCTGTGGGTATATCCTCTATAATTACGTGTTCATGCTTGTGTACTTTTTCTATTATGGCATGAATACAAATGTTTACATTTTTTCATTAGTGTCTAAGTGTGGAGATGGCTACTATCTAGGGAAGATTGCATATCTTATGCTTAGGTGATTGTGCCAAAGCTCAAATTCGATTAAAGTGAGGTGGGATGGCCTAGGTGGAAAGCAATATTGACAGAGTGAATAGTAATGGCACCACTATCACCTCAACTTGAGTCAGCCATTGAAAATTTTTTGAGATAAGGGTTGGATCAGCATCAAATTAGCCCATTCTATACATAATGTCACCGATTACACGACAAATAAAAAGCTCAATGCTACTAATCATATGACATCTATATTTTGCCTTATAGGTCTACTTCTTGCCTCCCTCTTCCACTTCATGGATTATTTCTACTTATCACAGACGAGCATTCATACAATAAATAATAGTAATTAAAATATGTTCGGATAGAGTAATGATAGTCGACAACAAGTATTAAAGTGTTTTGACCAAGCATGTTTAAGTTAAAGAAACTTGGAGACATGACCATGCAACGGAAAATACATTAAGATTGGTTAAGAAATCCTCCAATATATTGATGGCAGGAAGGAATGATAAGTTGTCAGCTCGAACTCTTTTGTGTTTTTCTTTACTCCATTCAACTGCTCCACTTAGTTCCCAAAGCTCTTTCTCTCACACTCACACTCAAGTTTACTAGCCTGTTGTAGTTAGCAATTCTCTAATGGTTATTAGCATATTCTAAATTGGGTGGCCTAATAAGAAGTGGATCACTGAATATTCACTGGAAACTTTGAAAAGCAACAAGTTTTTAATACTTTAATGATAAATTGCATCAGTAGAAGCCTGTAACAACGAAAGATAGAAGTCTCATCATTATTATCATTAACGATAGAAGTCACATCATTATTAACATTAGCTTAATCTTAAAAATATAGGATTTGCTTCATGAATACCCATTATTTATTAATGTATGAGATGCTCAATTTATTCATTGCAAAGCTATTTATATAAATTTAAGTCAAATTCATTTTGTAGGTGCATTTTTATTTTTATATATCCAAACACTCTAATTTTTAAAACTGATTTATCCTAAATAAATGTTATTATATATTCTTTTCTTCAGTACTTTGATTCAATTCTAATTGGCATGGGGGAATTTCCTCAACTTCTCATTTGAGAAGTCCATGATCCGCTTGGCATATCTTAGCATTTTGAACGGATTTTCAAATCCACTCAAATAGTGCACACAAGTCATCATGCGGCCAACCTTGTTGTTTGATCAAATAACAACTAGTACAACTGGTTGACACTTAACCCAAATCTACTTGTCAAGCTGATACATCGTGGAAGTGAAAATAGTAAGTAAAAGAGAAGAAAAATGTAGGAACACCAAGATATGGCTGATTTTTGTATTATATCTTCAATAATAAAGCAAGATACAATTGATATACTATTCGAGTGGTAGATCAGTTCTGTCACAAATCCTAGATGCTGATAAGGACTTACAATACACTAGGAAAATAAAACTCAACAATACCATAAACTAAACTCTAGACAACTTCCCCTTAAATAGCCCTAAAATAGAATAACATAAATAGAACATTCATAATCAGCATAAATATAATTTAGGAAACATTCCTAAATAATTAGGCCCTTCCTAATTAGCCTAAACATAATTTAGGAAATCTTCGTAATCAATTAGCAGCATAAAAATCTTCTAGTTTTTTCCCTTTCTGACATAGTGAATATTAACTTTCTTGGGCCCCACAAGGGGGCCGAAACCCCCTCCCTGTTGTTGCTCTGGTTCCTGCCTAGCAGTTTTGTTCGTTTCGGCCGGTCTGGGCAGGGTGACTGGCTCCTGCCCTCTGGCGTAAAAATACCCCCCTCCCAAAGAGCCACCTTATCATCAAGTTGGAAAGATGGAAATTGCTGCTTCATCCTCTTGTATGACTCCTATGTGGCATGATGGTCAGGTATATTCTTTCATTTTATCAACACTTTCTTGATCCATCCCTTTTCCTGTCGTACCCTTTCCAACTCCAATGGCTCCAACACCACCTTCAAATCCTCTTTCAATGTCACAGGTAACTCTGAACTGGATACATGATCACCGATAACTCTTCTTAACTATGACACGTGGAACACCGGATGTATAGTAGCGGTCGTTGGTAATTTCAATCGATAAGCCATTGCTCTAATCCTCTTCAGTATCTCTTAGGGACTAAAGTACCTCGGGGCCAGCTTCTCGTTTCTCTTGTTAGCTACTATCTTTTGTTTGTAGGGACGAAGCTTCAAGTATACCTTATCACTTATCTTAAAGTGCCCGTCCTTCGTGCGCCCATCATCCTGCTTCTTTATGATTTGTTGAGCCCTCAACAATGCCTTTTTTAATTCAATCAGCACCATATCCCTCTCCTCCAAGTATTGCTCCATCGACGAGATTGGTGTGCTACTCTGCCTAAAGTGCACCTAGTGAGATGGATCCCTCCATACAACACTTTAAAAGGAGTCATCCGTGAAGCCAAATAATATGAAGTGTTGTACTAGTACTCCGCCCATGCCAGCAACTTGGCCTATAGTCGAGGTGTCTCTGAAACAAAACATCGCAGGTAAGTCTCTAGGTTCCTGCTTACCACCTCTATATGCCCAACCGTCTTAGGGTCGTAAGCGGTGCTCCTCTTCAATACTATCCATTGCATCCTGAACAACTCCCTCAAAAAATGACTAAGAAATACCTTATCTTGATCGGACACTATAGATTTCGATATCCCATGCAATTAGACCACTTCTCTGATGAATGTTGTTGCCACCGTTACTACTGTGTACAAATGTCGTAGGGTAATAAAATGAGCATATGCTCAGTATATCCACCACCACCAAAATCATTGTAAACCCATCAAACCTGGGTAGCCCATTAATAAAATCCATGGTGGCCTCCTACACGTTCTCTGGAAGAGCTATATGTTGCAGTTACCTTTCTGGAACTATAGCCATGTATTTGATTCTCTGACGCACCTCACATCTAGCCATCATCTCTTCCACATCCTTATGCATCTCCTTCCAATACAACTCCACCGCCAACCTCTTGTATATCTTCTGCACCCCTGAATGACCCTCAACCATGCTCTCGTGGAACTCCTACAAAAGGTGAGGAATATTGACCAAGGTTTGTGGCAACACAAATCTCCTATAGTACAACAGTCTCTCCCCCTCTAGGAAATAGCTAGGGTGGCTACTCTCATCCCTCATTAGATTTGTCCTAATCCCCTTCAGCTCCTCGTCAAGGACATCTTTCATAATGGGAGCTTTTTTGGTCCAGCTAAACTTCTCTGCCCAGCGCCCAATGTGAAATAGGTAGATTCATCACCCCTTAGCAATAAGTTGGCGAGGTCTAAAAGCAATAAACCAGAGGTAGAAGCACCCAGCTCTCTACACAAAGAGTAAGAATGTGATGATTTAAGGACTTAAATTTCACATTATTTGTTTGGCATTCTGATAGGAAATGATGATGGGTCTTCCAATCTATTTTGAGTATTATATCAAACTCGATCAAAGGAAAGATGGTTAGGGAACATGGGAAGTTTCTATGCTAGAAGACCAAACCATCATGCACACGTAATGAAACATTTACCTTAACTTTAGTTGACAACTCGAAATTAGGTTTGTCAATGCCAATCTTGTTTTTTGCTCAGCTCATACGAACTTGCGTATAATCTATGGTTAGGACTAGTTTGGCTGATTAAATGGAAGGCCAAGCAATATGCGCACGGTAAAGATTGCATTGAATATGTTTTTTTTTTTTTTTTGGTTAAAAGTTAGAATTTGGGTGGTTGCAGCATCTTTTGAAATTAAGATAGTGGAAAATATGCTTGAGATAGTTTTTGCCAGATGTACCATGACAATCGATGGGGGAGTTGGTATAGAAGGATTTGGGATGAAAGTGGGTAATATGACTAGAATTTGTGCAAATAAGATATGAAAAAAATAGAGTTCACTTCTCATATAGGAGTGAATGGGGATGGATAATTCATAAAGACAACCCCTAATTGTTAGATAACGTTATTGATGATTATTGTATGCTGATATTTAAGTATATTTAAGGTGCTGAGTTTTGCACTATCCTACCGATTAGAATTTTGATAGAATGCAGATCGCTATGTTTTCTTTTTTAATGTATATACAAACTTCATGAAGTTTTTTCTATCTCTGTTCTGTTGTTTGCATGGATGACTTCTTCAATAGTTCAGTTTGTGATCTTTTCTGTAAGCAAATACTAGTCTATGTTCTTTCAGTGGCGATATAGATTTTGTTTGCTGACAAGTAAATCTGCTTGTAATTTCAATTTTTAATAGGTTACGGTTGAAAAGATTGAAGCTCTCATGGAGTTAGCACAGCTGAAGCGTGAATACCAGATGCTACATGAGTATGAATTTTACTACTCTCTTTAGAAAACTGTAATGACGGTGCTGTACGTGTGTTAGTTTCATAAATATTACCTCAAATAAAAGAGGCATCTTTTATTTTTGTTTGGAGCCTGAAATGCAACTTCATGTGACTATAACAGAAGCTTTAATGTTTCTTTTCACTTTCTTAATTTAAAAGTCTTACTAGCGTATGACTGTCTTTTGCACTGTTGTAGAAGAGCACAGTTTAGCTTCTTTATTAATGTCTGATCTTTACACGGCCTCTATGACCTATAGTACAAATGTCACCATTGTTAAGGAAGAGATGGAGATTTGACTTGGCTCATCACTGGATGCATTAAGGAAAATAAGATTCAGAAGAGAGTTCCAATGATGAACACATCTGGCAACTATGAAGGAATAATCTCGGACCCAAAAAACGGGTAGATTGAGATGACACCTTGCAATCAAGAGTCCAAGCTAACCAGTAGAGCTCTTTAAACACAATTGAAAATAAAATATCCAGAAGTCATTTAGCCTTCGAAGACCTTGTAGAGTTGTCATTATTACCTACTAATTAGTGTTAATGAAGAGGAGTTGAATGATTTTTCTAATCCCTTTGATGAAGCTAGGACAATTTTGGGATCATCTCCCCCAAAACTCCATGAGCTCAATTGCGCCTAAAATACTAATCCTTTTGAATTTTGCAAGCAAGAAAAGATTCATCAGTATTGATAGATTTTCAAATCCATTTAGCGAGTAGAGAACTGTTGAAATATAAATGGCTGAATAACCATCAAATTTCTTAGGTTTACAAGTTTTGTTCCAGTTAATAAGATGAAAATTCCTATCATCAGTACTCCCTTTCTAGAAGAAATTTTTCCCAATAGAATGAAGTTTCCATATCATCCAAGAAGGATCCCAAAATTAGGAAAAAAATAAATACGAAGGGCGGTAATAACAAAGGCTTCACATTTCTTCATCTTTATTGGAGAACTTTATCCTGGTTGCTTTCTTTTATTTTCTCAGTTGATCATTGGATTTTTATATATTATACTATTTTGATAATATCAAAACTATCCTTGTCCAAGTTTTCTAGGATGAAAAATCATATTCGGGGGTTGATGGTCTGTGTTTCCCTTGACAGTCTGTTTTGTGAATCATCTATTTTGTGCCCTTATTTAATGAAAAAATATCTGCTTTTCTATGGATCGAGCTTTATCCCTCAATGCTCTTGGCAATCTTGGAGGAGTTGCTTGTCAAACATTCACTGTTTTTTATTTGTGAAAATTGCAGCAGGCATGTTATGAAGTGTGATCATTTGTCAGCTGATAGTTTTGATAAAAGTACCACTTTCCGTGAACGCATAGGGACGCTTACAAACTTTTCTAAGAAAACATCTTGGAAGCGTTGGATGAGCAAAGATTATGGTACAAGTGACAGTAATGTTAAAGTTAGTTCTGAAAACAATGCGACTGCCAATGAGAACCATTCCATGGATTTTGCCAGGTTTGTAACATTACTGGTTTTGCAACAGTATGTTCCATTGTTGAGTTCTTCTGAACTTTCTGCTGCATTGACGTATTACTTTTAATTTTACTGCATTGCTGGATGAAGATGGTGAATGTTTATTCTATTCATTATGGAGATGATTGTTTGAAAGGCTGTTTTTTTCATTGTTAGTAAAGAAGGAGATGAATAAAATAATTTCTAACATGGTTCTTTCTTCAAATAATGTGTTTTTTATTTATTTTTCTAGGATAGTGTAGAAATTGTTGGCATATTTCTCTGGTTTACTCGTTCTGCTAAGTTGTGATACCTGATATTTTACAGCTCAAACACCTTAATAGTAGGCCTTTTTTTTAGAAGTAGAGCTTGAAAACTTCAAAGCATAATTATGGAGTATTGTTTTGGGGGTAGGAGATATCATGTGATTGGGGGTTTAAGCCATTGACTTTGGTAAATTAAAATTTTCCTCCACGCCAGGACTCCTATTGTTTCCTCATATTTTCCTCTTTATGTGTTAGCTTTCTTTATGATGGAGGACAATCATGAAAGAACTAGAAAATATATTAACAAAGGTTAATGAACTAGAGTAAAGATTATGTAAAAGTAGCTCTAAGATGTGTGCTTGAATAATGGCATGGCATTCTTGAAGAGTTTCAATCGAGATGCAAATGAGAAAATGATCAAAATGATCCATCAACTCTTTGTGAGGGACCAAAATAGTCTCCAACTATTTTAAGGGACCAATTTGGTTCCTCAACTCCTCCAAATGGGATTTTTTTAGTTCTGCCGTCAATTTTAAATGGAAAAGTGAGATGGATGCGAGGGTATTATCAGAATAAGCAAAGAATGTTTTAAGATATCGTCCCATAGTAGAGCAGTGTATTGTGAATCCTTAAGGCGCAACCAACCCTGTAGTCATGCATCCGATTGCATCTCGAAGTGTGGATTGCATCAATCCCATAGTCCATCCCCAGAGCAGTGATCACGTCGATCCCATAGCCCCGCAGCATCAATCCCGCAGTCGATCTTAGCGTCCGTTGATCGCAATTGATTTGGTCAAAGAAGCATGCCAACGGAAGAAAGATGGCTACCTTCACAACTAGCAAGCTCTCGTTGTCGTCGTTACTTCCAATCGAACAGGCGAACGACGAAGTGTGATTTTAGATTTAACAAGAAGGAATGTCATCGAAGGAGACAAAGAAGTTATTTAGCTACTCGTTCAAATCTCTCATCGTCACGCGAAGGATGCGAAGTCGAAGAGCGACGAACATTGAAGAAGGGGAAAAGCAAACCTAGTAGGGCTGCAAACAAACCGAGCCGAGCAGAGTATGTGAGTGTTCATGTTTGTGTTCATTTAATATCAGCTTGCTCAAGTTTGGTTCATGTTTGTTCGAGCTTTATTGCTTTTGTTCATGTTTGGTTCATTTAAATTAATGAGTGTTCATGTTCGGTTCATGTTCAGTTCATGTTCGTTCGTTTAGTGCTTATCGAGCTTGTTCGCGAACATATTTAACGAATTTTTTTAACTATCAAACAAACACGTTCATGAACATATCTATGAACAACACATTTATAATAAAAGCAATTATCTTTGTAACAAAGGCAATGATTATTTATATTTATTAATTAATTTAAATTTTAATTATACTATTTATATTGATTATTTGGTGACAATAATTAGAATTAATAATTTTAAATATAATAAAATTATAATTTGACAACTTCTGTAAATGTCATAATAGGAATAACTAAAAATTTTAATTATTAAAACTAAATTTATTTATAATTTTTTTTATTAAAGGAAAGTTTAATAAATTTTTTTACAAAAATTATAATCCATAAAATTACTTTATTAAATATTTTAATTAAAAAAAAACAAATAACCCTCATACTTAACACCATCAACTCTATCATTTGATGGTAGGACCAAAAATTCCCATTTTAGGAGTTGAGGGACCAATTTGGCCTCTCAAAATAGCTGAGGATCATTTTGGTCTCTCATAAAAAGTTAAGGGACCATTTTGATCTTTTTCTCAAATAGAAATTTTGTTCTTGTAAAAAATTGTCTTATATAACTTATAATACATTATATTTAGATACAGAATAAATAACAAATCACTAAAAGACTAATTAGTTTAATCACAGACTAAAGTAATCCTAACAAAAATTAACTCATAATACATTCTGTAGCAGCTTGCAACCCATGATATGATCATTTATCGTGCAACATATTTGATGCATGCTAATGTGATGGAATGGACTTAGAAGCTGTCTAATGAACAGACTAGGAATAAATTAACATGAAGATAACAAACTGTGCAGATTATGAAAATAGTTTAAATAAACTCATTTTTTGGAGAATGCAAAATTTAAATTTGTAGATCATCTTTCTTAAGAGTCAAAGAAGATATTTTCTAAATTTTTTGTTGATTGATTGTAGATTACTTTTTAAAAATAACCTTTTTAAATTTTAATAGCAATAGATAAGACTAGTTGCCATTGTGGTTCAACATGATCCTTATAATGTATTTTAGGCAGTGCAGGAAAACGGGAAAAAGAAAAACAAGCATTGAAATTGAACTATTGGCAACTATGTATTCAATCTAAGAATCATATATGGGTCTTCGGGTTTAAACATAAGTTCACAGTCAATTTTTGGCTATTTGAGGTGATAAGTTGGAGATTTGCCGAGATCTTTGAATCAGAACCTAATTCCTGTAACTTCAATCTGGCTAAATTGGTATAGTTCAATCATGGTCTGATATGAACATATTTATATTTTATATTTTTAATTTTTATCAGTTCAGGCTATCTTGTACTTGGGCGTGATTTTGTTAACATACTGCTTTGAATTGATTTAAATTGATTTAATAGAGTAAAATTATTCTCCATGGTTTTTATGTTTGGCCACTTTTTGGAAAGATTGCGTGTAAATGACATAATTTGTCCTAGATAGATGGATTGATGTGATTTTTATGACGTGTTGAGTAATGCAATTGTTAAAGTTCTGTGGCATGTTAGTCAGTTTTCCTAGTGGTTGCTCAGACATTATATTTGCAGGTTAAAAGTTGAAAATGCAGCCCTTCAAGAAAGCATGTTGCATTTGGAGCATCTTACTTCTTCAATTCACCGACTTCATGTCTCAATTTTAAAGGTTTGTTTGAATTCACACTAATAAGGTCAACATTTTGAAGCATGCAATGTGAACAAATTAAGCTAAAGCAACCTTAGCTTAAGCTACTTTTGGGCTTCCATGTTGATTTAGCTTGAGTTAAATTTGTGTGCGTGGAACAAAAGTATCAAAATTATTTCAACTATACTTTATTCAATTTATTGGTAAACTAAGGGTTCGTTTGGGACAGCTTTCTTAATACTTTTTAAATCAATATTTTAGTTAAAAATTTACTTGAATTAGAATTTTTTGTACTAAAAAACAGTTTTAAAAAGCAATGAGACAACTGTCCCAAATGAAGCCTAAGCATGGATTTAGCTGCAAAGCTTCTACTCCATATGGTGCAGGTAAGGGATGATTCTGCGTCGATTGGTTACTCTGAAAGTTTGGAGTCCTTAAAAAGCATAATGGAAGAAGCAAACCAGGTGAAGACTGCTCTGGGTAGCTCACTCCCAGTTAGCTGGTCTGCAGACCCTACAGTTGCCGCCTTTACATATGATAGTCTCTCCGAGCCGCCGGGTGGTTCGTCGGAGGAACGAAGGAGTGATCGGGTGGTTTGCACATCAGAATTTGAAATGGTGGAGCTCCTGATTTTAGCTGCACAGTTCTTCAAGGAGAAGATTGCCATAAATACTATCTCCTGATCGGAATATTTAACTGTATATAGTATAGTGTCCTTTCATCACTGATGGTTTCTCCTTTCCGTATGCTGTATGAGCTGTAAATTATGTGTGCTGTTAAGTAGTCAATTACGACTTCATTTGGGACGATTTTTTTGTTATTTCTTAAAGCAGCTTTTTAATACAAACACTTCAATTTTTTACTAAAAAATTGCTTTAAGAAGCAATAAGAAAGCTGTCTCAAACAAAGCCTACGTTTCGATTATAACAATTTTTTTATTGCTTTCTAAAATAATTTTTTAATACAAAATTTTTTTGTACTAAAAAATTATTTTAAGAAACAATAAGAAAATTATCCCTAACAAAATCTTAGTAGCTCAGTCACATGCCATTGAAAGCATTGGTTGTAGTTTTGTTTAGTTTTGTCTTACCTTTCTGGTTGGATTGTATACTGAAAGATTGAGTCAAACAAACATTTAAAAGATGAAAAATAAAAATTCAATTAAAGGCTACAGATTCATTATCGACTTTGTTCCTGTTATTTCGTTCATTTTCCAGTAATCTGAACAAAGCCTTCGGTTGTTCATTGTTGCTGGTGAGTAGAACTTTTTTATTTACTGATTATTGTAACATAGATGATGGCCATTAAAAGATAAGCATAATATTAAGTTGTGTTACAAATACAAAAAATATCTTTTGAAGGAAGTTTTTATTGGAGGAGATTTAAATGGACATATTGATAGAGAAGTAGATGTTTTTAAAACATTCATGATGAATATGTGTTTGATATGAGAAATGATTTTGGCAAGATTATATTAGATTTTTGTTTAGCTTATGATTTTTTAATTAATAATATATTATTTAAGAAAAGGAATGAGCAGTTCATCACTTATAAAAATGGTTATAGTATAATTCAGATTGATTATTTTCTTATAAGAAAGTTAGATCGTTTATATTGTAAGATTCTAAAAATTTTTAGTAAAAATGTATGTACTCAACATCGATTATTAGTTTTAAGTTTTAAGATAAAGAATCAGAAAATAAAAAATAAAGTAAAATGATATTCTAGGATTAGATTGGGGCAATTAAAGAATATTAACAAAAATATTTTTGAGAGTAAGATTTTAAATTTTAAGATTTTAACTATGCATGAGGATGTTAATGTTATGTGGGAAAAAGTGACTAGTGATATAAGAATACTACAAAAGATGTATTTGGAGTTTCAAAGGGAAAAACTCATAATAGGAAAAATAATTGGTGGTGGAATTCAAATGTACAAGGTAAGATTAAAATAAAAAGATTTGTTATAAAAATTGATTTAATTATAAAAATTTTGATAATTGGGAAAGATATAAAAAGACACAAGGAATCTAAGAAAGTAATATGGGATGCAAAGACTTTAGCTTTTAGTGATTTATATAATAGAATAGATATTAATGAGGGAGAAAGATATATGTATAAGTTAGCCAAACAAAAAGATATGAGTAGTAAGGATTTAAGTGAAGTGTATTAAGGATGAAGATTAAAAAGTACTTTTATTAAAAGAAGGTATTCAATAAGGTGGATGAGATATTTTACTATACTTTTTAATGAAGAATGTGTAAATATGATTGACTGTAGTGATCGTAGCACCCTAAATGAAAATAAAGATTTCTATTTTTATCAGCGTATTAGTAAAATCGAAGTTAAAGATGTTTTAAAGAAAATGAAGGGTGGAAAAGCTGTTGGACCTGATGATATTCCAATAGAGGTGTGGAAATGCTTAGGAGATGAAGGAATTTCTTGGCTTATTAAACTTTTTAATACTCTTTTGAAGACTAAAATCATGTCAAATGAATGGTGAATGTGTGTGTTAATTCATGCTTTTAAGAATAAAAGTGATGCACAAGATTGTTCGAATTATAGGGGAATTAAGTTAATGTGTCATACTTTAAAACTATGGGAGCGAGTTATGGAGCATAGGTTGCGGCATGATACTAATGTTTTTCAAAATCAAATTGGATTCATGCCAGGTAGGTCGACTATAGAAGTCATACATTTATTAAGAGGTTTAATGCAGAAATATAGAAAAAATAAGGATGATCTACATATGATATTTATTGATTTAGAAAAAGCATATGATAAAGTTTCAAGAGAAGTGCTATGGAGAGTTCTTGAAAAGAAAGGAGTTAACAACTCTTATATTCAAATCATTAAAGATACGTATGTAGGAGTTATTACTTGGGTTCAAACACAAGGTGGTTTGATCAAGTATTTCCCTATTTTGGTTGGTTTACATCAACGACTAGCCTTAAGCCCATATCTTTTTGCTTTAGTCATGGATGTTCTCATTAGACATTTGCAAGAGGATGTACCTTGGTGTATGCTTTTTGCTGATGATGTTCTTTTTATTGATAAGACTAAAGAGGGAGTTGAAGGTAAACTTGAATTATGGAGGTCAACCATAAGATAGGATACGAAAACGAAATATATGGAGTGTAATTTTAGTAGTAATAGACCTAGTGAGAGGATTGTGACTTTGGACGATCAAGTCATTAATAAGAGTACATGTTTTAGATATCTTGGATCTATTGTTCAGAGTGATGGTGAAATAGAAGAAGATGTTATCAACATAATTCAAGTTGAATGGTTGAAGTGGAGGAATGCGTAAGGCTTGTTGTGTGATAAAAAAGTACCCTTCAAATTTAAGGGAAAATTCTATAAGATGTTGGTGAGGCCTGCAATACTTTATGGTGTGGAATGTTGACCATAAAAAGAGAAGCATAATACTAAGTTAAGTATAGCAGAGATGAGGATGCTCAGGTGGATGAGTGGCTTTACCCTTAGAGATAGGATACGAAATGAGCATATATATGAAAAAGGTTGGAGTAGCTCCAGTATAAGATAAGACTAGAGAGAGTCGCCTTAGATGGTTCGATCACATTAAATGACGGCCTTCTGATGACCCGGTTAGGAAAGTAGAGGTATTAGATTTGTCACGACCCGACCCGAGACGGATCCCGCCTGCACCGGGCCGCGACCAACTTAACGAACAGACAGACCAGGATCTGGCT